AGCGCGCCATGGCCAAAAATTCTTTTGTAGGTTTTCGAGCATGCAGATTTCGCTCGCATACTCAAAAACGTCTTTGCAAAATTCTAAAACCGGATTTTTCAGTGTAAAAGTAGCAGAACTTCGGCTCATAGAGATTAAAAAATTTCGAAAGTTTTTCGGGTTGAATAATACTTCATTCGACGCAGTTTTACGCGCTGATTCCAAATATCTAGTTGGTTGGTGATTTGCGTCTTCCTGGGCTGAGAAAACTAAAACTTACCTAAAAAACCTGTGGGTTAGCTCAGGAGCCTTCGCACTATTTTGCATTAACGGCATTGATGTATCAATAGTAGAGCAATATACTCTGAAAATTTGATCTAGTTTGAAGCTGTACTAAAGTGTGTGCATTCACTACACTGAACACCGTTTTTCGGAAAATACTTAGCGAAGAAAGAAAAATGGTTTTTCTGAGCTCCAGAGCATCAGATAAAAACTTTTTTTAATGAATTGGTAGAGCTTGTTCTAGTTTATAAATATGAAAAACTTTTTTAGATGTCGTATACTAGTCTGCGAAAAACATTTTTTATCTTGATTACTCTGTTTTTACTAAAAACATTGCCTAGTGATTTTCCCGCTAAATATGGCACTTAGAAAAAAAATTCAATGGCAGACAGATAGAGCATAAGCTGAAATGTATGACTCGCTATTCAAATCTCGAAAAAGTGCACGTTCGTTTTTTCACCTAAATATAACGTGGTTGCCCACTGTACGTCATCTGTTATATATCTGGATAATTACTGTAAATCTGGCTGAAGTAACGTATTCAGTTACAGTATTGGAATATCTGTAGTGATATTGTCGTTGAGAACAACCGCATTAAGATTTAGATAGTAGAAGATTTGATTGTACCACTGATCACAGTGCTCTTCAATGATCTAATTTTAATGATCATAACAAGCGTTTATTACCTTTTTGTCCATTGCGTGTTGAAAGAAAGTATACAATATTATTGAGATTATATTAAAATAATTCATACATCTGGTGAAACATAGTAACGCTGATCCATTAAGTCGTAAACTACGACTATGTGTTAATCTGTACAATAGCAATTTATTTCGCTATATTATTGCAGCTCATATTTTTCAAATATTATTCAGTTAATTAAATAAGCAGATTCAGGATCATCCAAAACACATTATCAACAAAGAAAACGTTATTTGTATTAAGATCATTTATTATGTTCTTTACATTCAGGAACACAACAGTATCTACGAATATGTACGGGATAAAAATGACCTGACATTAAAACTGTTATATTTTGCGCATGATGAAGATTCTGAATATACGAACACATCTATGTTGATCAAACGATCGTATGATTGACTTCGTATGTCATGTGACACAGAAAAGTATACATTACTTGGCAATCGTGCCTAAGAAATAAAACGTTAAATTAACAGCCATTCGGCCAGTCATAGTCTTTATGAATCGGAAATGATCGATGATAGCAGTTACGTCGAGGATTAATAATATAACATGCATGCATTAATAATATAACAACTGAATAATAATCGGCTAATAAAGTTTCAAGTGAAAATATAATGAACGCTATAGCTGAAGATGAACTCACATATAAACATGACGCAAACATGACGAGATTATCGGATAAATCAACAGACATTGAAAGCTCATGGACGCGTGAAGCATTAAAAAGTAAATATAAAAAACTTTGTGAGTTCGTATGAATTATGACATAAGTAGATCAATATATTTATCTTACTGCCAGTACAGAAACTTTTGACAATTCTACATCGCAATAGAGTTTGACACGTAGAACTTGTACTAAAACGACAGTCGAAGTTCTCGATGTAATGCCGAATATTCATTCTTTTTTAGTAGTGTTACGTCAGTAAAAATCATTGTTTGAAGATTAGCAATGCCAATGTTACCTGAAGCTAGGTTACACAAACTGTTCATGAATTTTCATGATATTTATCCTTTTATCTACAATTTTAATATGTGTAACAACCCCAATTATACAACTAGATGTTGAATTATTGAAAGTTTTGGTAATAGGAATGAGAAAAATATTTCATATACCAATTAATTGACACAGCGTTTTTCCCCCCGATTGTACTATGGACATTGTCGGTTAAAATTAGTTTATTTTTATTAATTTTAATGCATCTTTGATACTTGCGATGAATTATTGTATAAAAGTTATGGTTTTGAAAGACAAAAATCTTCAATTAATCAAGTGTGAACAGAGAAAGAAAAGCAAAGAGAGTAGTAAGTTTTTAGTCTCTTACAAAAGTATAACAACATTTGACACAAAGTTTCATTTAATAGCAATGCTGACAAATAGCGAATTCAACTGGCCGATTTACTCTTACACAGGTTTGAAGTATGTATTGAATCAGAATTGCATCAAGTATATCTGAAAAAAGAAGGTATCGCTTTACTAGTCTACATACGAATCTCCGATGCAATTAACAGAAAAAAGAATAGGCTCATAGCTGTTGTACTGAAATATAATAAATGATGCGTGATACCTGACTGGTAAAACTGTTGCTCAAATTCGCACAATATAAAATGAAAAAAGGGTGGGTCTATTGACACCTCCAAATAGTATGTGATTGTGCGGGACGTGTATTCCATATATTGACATGAATGAGGTGAACTTCGATGAAATTCATTAGATAGAACTTTAAAATTCATGCTGAAACACTAAAAGAACTCCTTTTATAAGAAGATTTGTTCGGCCAAGAAGCAATTACATAGATATTCGATGATGTCACCAGTCTACATTAATATTTATCCAACGTAGCATAACGATATCATCGAATATCTGTGTAACTGCTTCTTGGCCGAAGAAATCTTCTCATCAAAGGAGTTCTTTTAGTGTTTCAGCATGAATTTTAAAGTTTTATCCAATAAATTCACCCAAAGTTCACCTATATGAAGCGCATTCATGTTACTATATGAAATACACTTCGCTCGCAGTCTACATACTATTTTCCTAGCACCTGCAATAGGTGTCAATAGCTCTACCATCTCTCGTAGGTGTCGGTAGCCCTTGGTGACACCTCATGCTGGTGTCAATAGCCATTCTGATGAAAAAACCTTTATGCTTAGCAGACAAGTGTTCTGAAGTTGAAATTGCAAAAATTACATGTGAAAGGCCAGGTTCCCTTTTGCTTTGGAACTGCAACTAACCGGGGCTCTTAATTCCTGCCGTTAGAAAGAGAAATAAATAGTGAAACGAATTAAGTCTTTACAAATTTTCTCGCATTGTCGTCGCTGTGTGGAATGACCCTTTAGTTTTGTACTGCAGAATTAATCTTAACGAAATTATTTTTACTGATGAATACCTTCATTTTTTTTAACTTGAACGAAACCACCCTTTTAATGGCAGGCATACCAAAGCAAAATATTTTCCGTCTTTTAAAGAAATATTCATCGTTCTTCTGTTTAATTGCAGTTAGAATCCATTAACAATAAATTTTTCTCTTGATACTCAACATACAACAATAAAAATTTGCGAAATGAAATGTCAAAATTCCATTAAATGAAAGTAGAAGATCACATAAAACAAATAAAATATTCGATTACTGGCAGTAGCATTCAACTGTTCCACTGCTTATATCGTCGTTTTCCAGCACGAAGTTTTAAAATTACAATTAAAAAATTGAAGTATTTGCTAAAATTACTAATAAATTTTATGATAAACGTTTGCAGTATAACTCAAGAAGTGTGATCCTTTCGCCTTATTCTTATTGATAGATAAAAAATAGAGTTTATGACTAATATGCAGTGAAAAAACAGTGAGGAACCATATCCTAATCGGGATATATATCCCGATCGAGATATCATATATATAATTGGAATATATGTTTTTCGATATCCAGATCAGGTTGTATTCCCAGAGCCCGACTGGATGTAGCTACCTTATGTATGCCCAGTGTAAGAGAAAATATCAAGATATTTCGAGATAGTGTTAAAAATAGCTAGTAAAAAAAGTAAACTATCCGGATCGGGATATAGAACGTGATCCTCGAGAATTATTATTATTTAAAGAAAGGTGGCTGATCGAAAGAAAGGCGTGGTTACAAGGGAAAAGAATCTGAAACAATTTTGTACGCTCTTTTGCGTGGTATGGTCAAAACTTTCCGCGAACATCATCATTTTTTCACTAACGAATTTTATTTAAAAAAAAAATCGAGTTTAGATCCCAATTGGGCTATATGTTTTTCAACTGTATCCTGGTCGTATATATTTTGAGTCAAAGCGGAATATATATCCCGATCGGGATATAGAGCATGAGACTGTACTGGAAGAGATAATTATAATACCTGAACATAGAGTACTGGTGTCAAAAATTCACGTTATTAGCAGTTCTCGTAACGTACTGATCTGTCTTTAAACTTCGATTTATTGTCTCCTCTATCCCATGGTTTCTATATGAATAGTTGAGGGTTTATCCGATAATCAACTATTTTTCCCTCATAACTCTCATTCTCTACTTTGTATGCCAAGAAAAACTTTATAAAATTGTGAAAGATGTTTTCTAATAGCCATCCATTCCTGATGACACGAAGAGAATGCGATTGATATTCATCGATTATATATATATATTTACGATTGTGCTTGACTATCACGCTTGTATTTATGCTGTGACAGTAAGACTATATAAAAGTAGAAAAAGACAGTTTTATTTTCGATTCATTCAATGATGATGTCCATTTATTTATTGCATAAATGCAATGTGATCGATCACTTGATAAAAAAGACAAAAAGAAACCGAGAGAATTAATGAAAATTGTCAATATTTTGTACCACTTCACTTTTTTGTTTTTTATACAGCATTTTCATAAAAAACTCTTCATTTACTTGCTTATAAAAACAAGTGGAAGAAATATATTTTTAGTCAACAACAGCCAGCACGCAAAAAAGTTTAATTTGTAGAAATAATTCAAATCAACGCACCACTTCCAATATCATACTATACTAAAACAGCAAAAATGGATGAAGAAAGATTTCGTCAGGTATGGCCAAGATGTTTAATTATTTTTATGGGATTAATCGAAATGTGTGCAACAGTGATATTAGTCCTTACTGAACTGGGTAATATCGCATCAAGTTTTTGGGTAACAAATGTATTTGCTGGATTTTGGTGTGGTCTGGTGATGCTCATTCATTTTATATCATTATATACAGCTGGTACGTCTCTCAATTTGAATAAAACATCTCAGAGAGAATTTCTATTCGAAACTGAAATCGAAAATCACAGTGAATAATTTCGTTTTTTGAGTAATCCTGTTCTAACGTCTTATGAGAGTTCTTTATTCATCTTTTGTCATCAATGCATAGAATCTATTTTAAACACAAAAGATTCAACTCAATATTAATAAGACAACACCGAGGACTTACTTTTTTAGCTGACGTGGACTACAGTCTCTTAGTGTCAAATTCAAGGTGGAAAGCTTGATTTTTTTCCACCTTGTAGAATAATTTTTAAAACTTCGATCTACTCAGAATTTGTCTAGTATTTAATGATATATTTCGGTTAGAATAGATCGTTATGCTTTCTTTAATACTTCAGAATCGTAAACTCTGTCAAAAAATATTACTGTCACCTGAAAAATAACCGATTTTGTACATGGGATTTTTCTATCATGCATAATCATAAAAATAATCACTTAGACACCAAAAGATTTAGCCTTCCAAGCTCTACAAAATCCTATGAATGAGATAAAATAATAACACCTCGTTTTATTACAAAAGAGAATAAATTTCATTCTAGTTTTCTATGAAAAACAAAAAGTTTGAAAAACTAAGCACACGATTTTTTGTATAAGATTTGAAACGTAACAATTTAGTTACAATTTTTTTTCTATAGACCAGAATACCAGGCATTCTATTACACTTCCTGTTAATATGCTCGGTTCAAGAAGTCATAGTATTATAGTGGAAAAAATTCTGTTCGCATAAAAATAATGTAGTTTTGAGGGTAGTTTACTTTTTCCGAAGTTTTAAAGAAAGCATAACGATATATTCGAACTGAAACATATCATTAAATATTAGACAAAATTATGCTTAGAACAAAGTTTTAAAAGTTATTCTAGAAGGCTGAAAAAATCAAAATTTTCTACCCTGAACTGGACGCCAAAGAACTGTTGATATAGTGGGTAAAACTACACTACCCAAGTTTTAAAAAAGTTTGTTCAAGTTGACTAAAGTGTTTCTATATGTTCTATGGAAGTTTTCTTGTCATGACTTCTATTCTTTCAGTGTTTGACCGAGATTTACAGTACTACAGTTACTCTCAGTTCGACAAAAGTTGAAGAAATTATCTGCCACGATTCTAATCTAAATTGAAATTCTGTTATAGGTTGCTGTGCACCCAAACCACCGGCCGCAAAACGGGCCATGATTATCAGCATCATTGCTCTTTTGGCCACTGCACTCTTAATCGCATTCGATGCTGTGTTCATCAGCAAACCTTATACGTGTATTCTAACATCTTCTTGTACTAGCAATGCTGCTCAAACATCGGGTGTATATTATACATTGCAGCAATCATTTTTAAACTTATTTAATGCATTGCCTCCATTTAAATCATATTCATCAACGCAAGCGCGTTTCCTTTTTCAAAGTATTCAATTGGGTGTTGGTTGTTTGTGTTTTGTTTTAGTTTTGATATATCTAATTATTTATTTTGTTTGCAAATCAAAAGTTGAAAAACCAGCAGTCTTTCCTCAACCACCAATATTGAATGGTGACAATGAGAATGAATCATACCCACCGACCCGTCAGCAACAATATCCTCCAATGCAACCTCAACCACAACCGGGTGAACTGCCATGGGATCCCCTAACAAAGTATTAAGAGAAAAAAACGAAGAGGAGACAAGCAGATACACAGAAGTTTTTCATATTATATAAATATACAAAAGCGTTTGTTTTTACACTACGTCATGCAGAAGCGCCATTTGTATCAATATTTTTTAAGTAAATCATTCAAAACTATGCGTGTAGATGATGTGCCAATAAGGAATAAACGCCTTTTTACAATAGTCCATTAAAGAAAAAGGATGTAAGGCTGAACTAATTGATATTGAAAATTTATTTAACGTGTTTGATAATGAGGTAATAGCGTGTTTCAACACGAAATTTTTATCTACAGAATAACATGTTAATGGAAAACATCTCAAGGTTTGAAAATGTGAAGTCCACAAGAAGAAGAACCATTATGTGAACGTGTGAATTTCTCATAGGTCACCCTGACAATCAGTCTCTTCGCGCTTATAATACAGTAAAAATCATTCGTATACTTGATTCGTATTGTCTTGTAACGGCGTTTTTAGAGTGGAGCAAAAGAAAGATGCAAATATAATTGTAGATGAATTGACTTCTAAACAATTTCTTATTAATTGTTCTATACATCTTTATCTCAATTTCCTGAGTAAACTCGTGACGTAGACCACTTTTTCTTCCTGTTGCATACTAAGATTAAGTGATAAAAGTTAGAGTCAGGCTGGATTCTACTACTCACAACTTTATCCTACTCAATTAGGGAGCATTTAAAACTTTATGCCGCTAAGTTAGGCCATTCACCCGTTCTGTCGGTCGCAGGTCGTTCTATCCCTCGCTCGGTCATTCAGCTGCTCTGACGTTCCACCGTATTTAAATTATACTACCCATTTCAAAAGAGAAGGCACATCACCGTTTTTTGGATAACTTTTGATAGGAACAAGACAGATCTGCGATTTTCAGACTACGGAAGAGGATACCTGGAAATATAATTCTATGCTAAACCGACCGGGATCCGATAGGTCTACCATGGTGTACCTTTTGAAACAAAATGTCCGAGCCTGGCGTTGCAAAAATCTATATAGCAAAGTACTGTTCTGAACACATGTGGATATACAGAAGGTGTCGCTCTACAACCTGGAGTAAGTCCCAAGTCTCCACCTATCGTGGTTCTAGCGCTACAGGCAATGTGTAGGAATCTACCTATCTGATAAATCTGTAGTCTGGAAACCGTAAAAACACATGAAACGTAGGTTTTGAGCACGGAAAATCTCGCGGCAATGTTTTTGTTTTGTTCTCCCGATTATGCAAACTTCAAAATATGAGTTTTCCAGAAAATTTGAGTTTTTCGCTGTGACTATGCTGAAATAAAAACTTTCTAGCACGTTTATTTCCCAATCAAACTGCATGTAAGTTGAAAAGTGACCATAAGAGAAGGTGTTATATCCGATCTCACGACGAGCGCTACAAAAATAAACTGGATCTTTTCAGAAAACCTCTGAAGATCTTCAGGAGAAATTTCAGTATGAGAATTAATTTTAACCTTCCTGAACCGTACAGCAGGCGAAACTGAGTAAGTTTTGAAAACATTAAGCACTTCGCTTTGGTTGATAAGAGAAGGTGCTAGAAGGTTTTTATTTTGTTTTTATTTTAGTACAGTCACAGCGAAAAACTCAAATTTTCTGGAAAACTCATATTTTGAAGTTTGCATAATCGGGAGAACAAAACAAAAACATTGCCGCGAGATTTTCCGTGCTCAAAACCTACGTTTCATGTGTTTTTACGGTTTCCAGACTACAGATTTATCAGATAGGTAGATTCCTACACATTGCCTGTAGCGCTAGAACCACGATAGGTGGAGACTTGGGACTTACTCCAGGTTGTAGAGCGACACCTTCTGTATATCCACATGTGTTCAGAACAGTACTTTGCTATATAGATTTTTGCAACGCCAGGCTCGGACATTTTGTTTCAAAAGGTACACCATGGTAGACCTATCGGATCCCGGTCGGTTTAGCATAGAATTATATTTCCAGGTATCCTCTTCCGTAGTCTGAAAATCGCAGATCTGTCTTGTTCCTATCAAAAGTTATCCAAAAAACGGTGATGTACTTTCTATTTTGAAACCGATAGTAATTTATTTTATTTTGTTTAATTTCGGTTCCTTTGATCGTATTTTTCTCCTGAAGTTTCAAGTGCCCTAGACAATCGAAATGAGCATAGTCTAATGTAATGAATCAGCACAAAAATTTAATTTGCTTATCTGTTCGTTGGATCGGGATCTCCGTCTTGAGTATGTCACATTGTACTGTCCGTAAAGATCAAAGATGCCGCTTACTCTTCGATCTCATCAACTATCCCGCCTAATTTATTTTTCTTTATATTTAGTTATTCTATGAATGGAATATTTTCTCGACTTCAAGCATGAAATGAACTCAACTCGAGGTTTATACAAGTGTGGAGCATTCTTTTAATCAATGACCCCGAATAGAAAAAAACAATTTTATTTTGTTGTCTTTAGTATTGAACAATGCCGGCTGTTTAAACTATATTCTTCTGTGAAATACAATTCATTTTTTGATAAAAGCTCTTCAATTTCTATATCCGAAACAAAATGTGACATCCGTGTACATGCATTAAGATTCCTACGGCTGTTAAATCTCGTTCTTGAACATATTTTGGGGAACCTTAATCTTTTCATGCTTGATTAAGAGATGTTGTAAGGAATTTATATTTATTAATCTTTTTTGTCGGACAGAAGTGTAGATAAATACTCGCACTATTCTATCGTCTAATTGAATATCAGACATTCGAAATTTGTGAACGTTAAACGAAAGTCGTGCGTACGATACATCGTGAGGCAAAAGTGATGCGACTAAATATCCGTGCGAGAAATAGTTCGGCGACTAAATGTCCACGACGAATTGATCAGTCACCTGCATGAGTGTACTTTAAATATAAAAGCTCATAGTTTCCTAAAAGAACGAATACGCTGGCTGAAAGATGAACACGAAGAACCTTGGGCACTAGGAAATGTGGGCACCAGGGAAATTGAGCACCTAATTTATCCATTAAATTTTTTGTATCATGAACAGTTGAAAAACTTTAACGCAAAGTGTATCGGTCAATAATGACTTTATAAAATTCCCTATAGAAAGACGAAAGAGAGAGAGAATACAATTGAGGAAGAATACGAAAGAGCTAGAACCCTGTATGAAAATAGTCCAAATCCACCACCAATAACAACCAGCTATGCAAAGGTAGCTAAGATACTGAAAAAGATTCGACCAAAACATGCACTGGATGTTTTAGGAACAGTAATTTTCTTCTTCGTCAGCTACCCCTTGATTTTGTCGGTATTCTTGTAGTTTGTTTCAATCGGTTATTAGAAACCAATTCAGTAACAGAATACGACAAAGTAGCACGAATGATATTTCATTCAAAAGTCGGTTCTTATCAGAGCTGGGCAAGTACAGACTTTCTCGCGTACGAGTACGAGCACCACTAAAATCATACCGAGTACGAGTATCACTCGAGTATTACAAGGACTGGTTAACTGAAATCCTGATTTTTGATTTTAAAGCTCATTCTTTTCTGATTCAATATAAAATAATACAACAAAAAGTTCGTAGATTATGATGTTCTCTATTTCTACTTTTGCGTCAACAAGTTTTATTCTAATTAAACAAATAAGCCTTTATTATATTTGAGAAACGTAAGCATACAAATATTTTTACTAGTCAGCGGTGTCGATGTGTGCAAACTTACTGCGTTTACCAGAACTAACAAAAATCTCGAGTACCAAACCTTCGAGTACGAGTACGTAATCGTAATTAAACTCGAGTACAAGTACGAGTACGGATACCGTCAAAATCGAACTCGAGTACGAGTACGTACTCGTCCAGCTCTGGTTCTTATTCCACCCTTACTGAGCTATGCACAATATTGACTTTAAATGCTATTGGAAAGCTCTACGAAAGAATTATTCACAAGAACTTACAAAAATGGATGGTAGAGAAAAAGGTCATTCCTAGTTCTCAATCAGCATTCCAACTCGGAGTCAGATTACAAACAAGAGTACTAAGTCTCTATGAAGCAGCACGAGCTTATGTTGTATCTAACAGACCCGGCTTAGTTTTATTTGTCGATTTCACCAATGCATTTGGTAAGGTTTGGCATAAGGCTTTGCTAGTCAAACCTTCGCGATACGATATTCCACTTCAATTTTGACTGTTTGTCAGAAACTGGTTGAACAAAAGAGCAGCATACATTTCATTCTGTGGTTTAGAATCCAATTTGTTCGATATCGAGTGGGGCCTTCCACAAGGTTCGGCTTTGTCACCATTACTTTATTTGCCATATGTTGCTGATTTGAATGATATTAAAGGACCAGCACGAAAAAACAATTGGTTTGCTGATGATTGGAGTTTGTTTATTGAAATTCCATTTGGTATTCCATTTTCTGAAGCATGCCCCTTACTAGAGAGGCTAGGTTAACAAGCATTGGATAACATCAGAGAATATTGCGATTATTGGTTAATTGAACTGAACGTCAAAAAGACTGTTGGTCTTATATTTCATTCACAAGTACAACTAGCAACTATAATACCGACATACAATAATCACATAATTTCTCTTGATACTAAGATCACTAATTTGGGATATGAAATAACATTAAAACTGGGTTTGGGTGCATTTCTGAATTCTATGTGTCAGAAAACTGCAACTTCCTTCCGAATTGCTTCTGTTCAATTCACGTTGTGGTTCGCTATCAATTAATTTGCGTCGACGATGTTTTGTCGCATTTCTTTATCCTAGGTTTGTATGGCTAATACCGATTTTTTTCTATTTTACGAAACAGCAACAAGAACGAATTTCGAGTCTTTATGCATTTTATTTACAGAAAGTTTACGGTCGTTGCTATCTCGATATAATTTTATTTCTTTCACTGTCGGGTGAACAAACGTTTCTTGACAGAATCTATTTGTACTGGCAGAAGTATTTTCAACAGTTGGACTATTTTCATATAGGGTTCTAACTCTTTCGTATTCTTCCTCAATTATACTTTCTGCTATT